CACTGCTGCTTCCTTGAGGACAGAGGTCTGTGGCTAGAAGAGTAATTTCAAGGTGAAAAGTGGGAGCCCAAAGTCCAACTTACAGGCTTATAGCATCTTTAGACCCTTAAGAATTTTTTGGAGTTTCCTGGAAGGGAAACAGGCATTGTAACCTGGAGTAATTTTTGTGTCCTGAAACCGCAGTACTTCTTAAAAGTACAATTTTAAAATGGCAATTTTCTTGTCTCCTTCCTACTTGCCCTTGTTTCTTCTGTCCTGCTCAGCGCTGGCAGCAGGACATGTGAGCAATAGCTGCCACCCTGATGACCAATGGGTCCTTGAGAACTGGTTCTTTGAAGCAGGACTCAGGAAACCAGAACCAGAACTGGGGAGAAAATGGTCCCTGCAGAACTACTCACCTCTGCTGCTGGGGCTGCACCTGTCACAGGTAACACTTACATGAATGCATGCGGGTGTGTGCCAATAAAGCTTTATTTACAAAAGCAGAGAGCAAGCCGCCTTTGGTTCTCAGACTAGAGCTTGCAGACCCCTGTTATAGAGGGTTCCTTGTCTGTCTTGCTATAGAGCTAGGCCCTCAGAGAGCGACTGTCTGCTCAGAAAACAAGCAAGTAATAGAACCTGGTCCTTGGCCTTTCAGGGTTTCCATTGTAAACAAGCAAAAGGAAATACATCATAGAAATACAGCTGAGAGCAGCACAGGTCAGGCTGGGAGCAAAAATATCCACCTCCAATACCTATAAATCAACCTATGCATCCTCTGCTTTTTGGGAAAGACCGTGGCCATTAGTGGGAATGCAGCATTACTAGGAGCTAAAGGTATTAAAGCTGCTACTGCAACAAGGGGACTCCAGGGAAGGAGGAGGCAGGGCAGGGACTCATTAGCGACCACAGCTGGACTCGCTTTCTTCCTCCCCCTGCCATCTTCTGCAGTCTGTGCTTTGCTTACACAAGGCAGCTCCTGGCTGGATCTTTCCTATTAAAAAGACTAGAACAGGCAGCCTTGAACTTCAGGCATCTCAGAAAAACAAAGAAGGTCAAACTCAGTCTCCTTATTAGTTGTTATAGCAACACAGAAAATACTGCTGAGGCCCTGAAAATGCCACTCAAGAGCCACTTCCAAGCTTCAGTCCCAACACGTCTTCCAGTCCTGTGGGCCACTCACACGGAGCCCCCTTGGTACCTATGTGCAGTGTTCCGAGAGCTCCTGGAGAGAGAAACTAGGACCTCGCCATCAAATGCTCAATCCCAGGCCATCTATTCCACTCGTCCTGCCAACTCCAGGTACCAAGTCTAACCTGGCAGGCACTCACTACTTCTGTCTCTCCAAGATTTCTTCACATGGGATTGCATACCATTGACTGCCTGTGTCAGAATTACCTGGAGGTGCTGCCTGAAGATACAGATTCACGAGCTCCACCTTGGACCTACTGAATGAATATCTTTTGCCATATCTGAGGAGGGCTAGCGTAGACAGTAGACCGGACTATGGTAACTTATCAGTACGGTGCAGGCAAATGATCATCAGGCAAACCTGGTGGTGGCTAAATCCCATCATAGTAGATGGAATTCACATTGGAATCTGCTCATGATTAACTTTCATACCTCCATCCTATACTCAACCTCCAGAATATAAAACAGCAACCTGAAAGGGAAATAACCAACTTGCTGCCTCAATAGAAATCTGAACATAAATGTATGTATTCTGGGACTAAAGGAAAGAGTATATTCTTTGTTAAAACTGGGGGGTGAAGCTTGGCGAAAGGGATGGAAAATGAGAGAATTGAAGAAAAAAGTGGAAATAGAGCTTTTGTAAATGAGAAGAGGTCCAAGACTTTGAAGGAGTAGAGAGGAATGGGAGGGTATGGAAGGAAAGAAGAATTAAGATGTGTTATGCACATGTACAAACTCTCCACAGTAAATGTAATCATTATGTGTTACAAACGTGTACTAATAAAAATAAAAATTTTAAAAGTTGGTATAGTATTCCCCCTCTCAAAAATAAAGACTGTATGAGCCAGGGATTTAGTTCAGTGGCACAGTGCCTGCCTCACAAGTGCAAGGTCCTGAGTTCAATCCCCAGTACCGGAAAAATAAATAAATAAATAAAGACTGCTCCGAAAAGAAGTAGTAAAATGTGCTTTTGTACTTATATGTGTTCTGTTTAGATTTTTATTTTGGGAGTAGTTGGCTGAAACACTTTGAGCCTGTGGAATAGATGTCCTGAATTCAGACACATGCCTCTTGTGAAACGTCCAGCCTAGCATACCTGTGAAGGACCTAGGGACCTGGTAAACGGGTGAATGAATTTCAGAAACTCAAGCAATCTTATTCTAGAGTGCATTTTAATGACTACTGCATTCTTCTCCTTCTGCCACATCACAGATTTTTCTAACATGGGCCTGAGCCTGCAAATGGAATATGCAAGGTACTCCTACGCCTCTCACCTTCCAATAATGCCCCCCAAGCTGTTTACTTGATAGATAATCAAAATACCAACTATGTCTAAGAAATCCAAACTTCAGCCTGCAAAGTCCAGGTTGTTGGCAGCGTTGACATGAGCACCTTAGAATCTAGTTCACACTGTGTACAAGTCCAGTGCAGCTTTGAAAAGCTTTGCTTTTCTCACCCTTGTACGTTCACCACTTAGGTTCGATTTCCCCATCTGTAAAATGGGGTTGATAATTATGTTTACTTCATAGAGCTACCATGCAGGTTAAATAAGATAATAAAACTAGAACACTTAGAATTGTGGTTGGCAATAAATTAAAACTGTTGGATCACCTAAAAGAACTCTCTTTTCTGGCTGTATGTTTTTCTTTCTAAATATCCTACGACAGGTTCTCACTTGCAGTTAACTACATTCAGCAGCGTTTCTTTGCCCACTCATTAGCTTGAGATTTGCTTTGGCAATTTTGACTTCATTAAAATTATAATGATTTCTTTAATTCCATTTCCTTTATCTGCTTCAACTTAATCCCCGTGATGTTGGCCATGGCCCTGGGAATCAGGGAGAATCTCTTAGGAGACAATCTTAGACGAAAAAGAAAAGAAGCAAAGAGCTAGATAGAGTTAGAAAAAAAAAATAGTGAGGGAATTATTAAATGTGCATGGCGAGCCAAGTTCTTAAGAGATGAAAATGAAGACACCTGGGAAACGGAGAGTATGCGAAATGATGTGCAAAGAAGTTACAGAGGACCCAGGGAAGCGACAAGTGCATTCCTGAGCAGCCATTAGGACTGAACCATTCATGTATCCCTAATCCCCGAATTAACTGTTGGCCCAATTCAATCCTCCTTGCCCCAGTATTTCTCAAATCTGGAGAAAAATATGCTGACTTGCTGAGCCCTTGGAATCTCAGCTAACACAGGTCCGAGAGATTTAGTGGCACACGTCGGTGTTAGCAGGACCGAGTCTATTGGGATATAACCGCAGTTCAGTGCCAACTGGGGAAATTGTGCACTGTTTAGAAGGATCTCCAATGAGACGAATCTTTCTCAGGGATTAGCAACATTTTTTTTCTTGAGATTATAAGAAATTATTTTATGGTGAAAATAATGCTTTTAGAAGGGCCTAACCCAGTGCCTGCCATGAAGAAATACACAACTAACGTGTATTTGCCTTCCTGTGAAGAAAGAATTCAATCCCCCAAATAGGAGTGGATTCTTCTAGCCGTTAACTCAATACATATTTATAAGAAAAATATAGACTAACCAGGTAAATTTGAACTTAAGGTACACAACAAACACATTAAAAAATATAATGCTGTCCCATGCAATATTTGGGACACATGATGGTACATACTATAAAACCCTCTGAAGTGTTTCTGTGATCTTCACTTTTAATTGGGTACCATGTATTCCAACTGGTAACCCTCTAGAATAGAGCAGTGAAAAAGATACACAACAGCCCTGTTTTCTCATGCAACTGTAGGAGCCCTAACATCAAATGCTCGCAAGAGTCAGTTCCTATCTGGCACTTCCCTGGTGAGAAAGCCCAGGGAAGGATCGCCTTCATTTTAGAAGTCCATTGCCATCAGGGGCCCATTTAGCAGATGTCACTGTGAATTACAGTTGCAACTTTATTTCCTTGTCATACTCCTCTGGAAATAAGGTCCTTGGCAGCAGAGCCTGAGTCTTTGTATCTACATTCCCAGGCTCCAGGAGAGGGCTGGAAACTCCCACATGCTCAGTACCAACTAGCCTAAAGAATGAGTGGCCAAACGTGTAAATGGTTGAGTTCTGGCAAACAGTGAAGAACCATGCTCATAGTTCCTAAAGAGAATTTTTTTCACGCACATCCTTAAATGGTGAGAATATAGAGACAACTGTGCTGCTAGAATCCAAAGACGATATGGGTGAAGAATGATCTTTTATTTTAAAATGTTCCATGAGGATAGCCCAAACAAAATAAAGGCTTCAAAAAGGGGAAGAAAGGGAGCAAGGAGAGTGTGAAACAGCAACCTTGTAAGCAGTACTAACGGGTCCCTTGAAAGAATAGTTTGGTAAAGAAAATGTAAATATGCACAGTGCAGACTAAGCCCTAAGGAAGGATAAACTCGAATCATTCGTAGGAAGATGGATGCACCTTGAAACCAAGATGCTAAGCGAAATAAATCAGACACCGAAGGATAACTATCTCATGGCTTCTGTGATATGAACAACCCAAAATATAAATAAGCTAAAGAGCAAAATAATATATGATACGACACAGGGAGGTAGACTTTGTAAAGAGAAAAGGGGTCTGGGAAGGGGAGAAAGGAAGGGAGAGGAAAGGAAAGCAAAACTGATTAAGTTGCAATATGTATATGTACCAAGTCCCCAAGATGAGCATAATAACCATGGACTGCAAACATGAACTAATAAAAAAAAGTTCTGAACATAATAGGTAAGAGCGAGTCAGAGAACTGATTCAACAAATTGGTAATATAATTCAATATGATTTCCAGTAGTTAACCAGAACCACCATATTAATAACTGAGCAAAGGGTATAAACCAATAACAAATAATTAAGAGCCATTTTATTGTCAATACTAACTGTCATACCATTGAAACACTCGAAAGAAAAATCACACAAACTCACAAAAGGACAGATTCTGAGAAGCACAAGGGACATAGGATCTACAATAGAAAATCATTCTGTGGCATTGACTCCTTTCCATCCAGCTGTAAAAGGGAAAAAAGAATGCTGGTATCTATACAGCATGTTTCATTTAGGCTGAGACTTTTATTTAAAAAAGAAAAAGAAAAAGGGAAAGGAAAAATATATATTGGATTGCAGATTCCCAATGACCACACAATGAGCTAGGACTTTATATGCTCCTTCCCTTCGCCGTGGCTTTCCTTGCTGCCGTCCTGTGGCCTCCCACGTGGATTTGTGGCTGACACACCACAAGAGTGCTAAGAATTCTCAGCAGTTACTGTCAGTGTTCGGACCGGTAGGCAGGAAAAGTCTCTGTTCGATGAAGCTTCAGAGGGCTGGTGACATCTTTTCCAAAAAGAACACAAAGGCAATAGTTATGTTTCAAGAAAGCTTATGACCAAGTGTGTTAGCAACAAGTTTCTACTCAACAGAAATAAGTAGCATCCTACACAGGATACTTTTCCTGGTGCCCCTCATAGGGATATGCAAATATGAGTCATGAGCGATTCCACAATTAACATATTATTTGCCTATGACCTTTGCACTTTGAACTCTACATGTCCATATTTTCCTGTTTAATTTTCCATCTGCATCAAACCATATGCTCAGGGTAGTCAGGAAACATGACAGAAACACAGGACTATGGGAACTTGGTGGGGACACTTTTACAGACTTCACCAGAAATAAGACAATATTGCACTTTAGGGCATCTTGTAAATGTAAAAAAAAGAACTTCTTGAAATCCATTTAGTCTTTTTTTTTCCTTTCAGGTTTACGTTCCAAAGCAAAGCAAAAAAAAATCAAGAATTAGCCTCCTTTGTGACATAACACAGGGGTGGGCTAACTTTTTCTAGAAAGGGCCACTTATAATCAGACACTCGCAGCACAAAAACAGCCACGGTCCATATATAATGAATGAGCACGAAGTTCCAATAAAACTTTATTAAGGAAAACAGACCGGAACTGGACTCCTCCCACCCCAGGCCTTAGCTCATCCTGTAGGCGCATCGCCTTGGTTTTATGAAACCAAGATGCCTTACTGCCACCTGCTGACTGAGGGTTACCACAACTGGAGAAATTCATGCTGCAGTACCCGAAGAGCAGGGTGTCGAGGGAGCAGGAGACACAGGGAGACTGCTGAGGCGCGAGCAGCTCACAGGCCCACTGCACTGAGGGCAGTGTGTCTTCAATCACCAAACAAGGGGAAACACTGGATGGTGGCCCAGGCTCTCAAGCCTTAAATTTCTGTGCTGCTCTGTTATCACCTCAGGTCAGTCCACAGGCCAAGTCCCCTCTGATCTTCCTTCCAGAAACTTGGATGTAGACAAAGAAGACTCATTTTCCACATTCACGGAATGAGGAAAAGCATACATGCTGTCATCCACATGGTATTTATTACAGACTATTTAAAAAACTACTGTGGGCTTTATGAGCTCTGAGGCCTTACCTAAGTTACTCCAGTCCCAACACCAAGCAAACACAACTACAATGTTCAGGTTCTTGCAAGCCTCATATCAGAACCAAAAGCCAAAGGCACCTCCATCCATTTAGTCAGTGCTACACTGCACGACACTGACGATGAGGAGACTAGGGCTCACTTCTTCCAAGCTCCAGCCAGTCTGAATACGAGGTCTATTCTCTTTCCAACACACAGACGCTATAACAGAGGGAAGCTGTAATAATGGGCAGAAGCACTGGCAGGGAACATCCACATCACCTTTATTACAGTTTGATCATGGTCCCTGCAGGGAGCAGACAGCATGCAAACAGCATAAACGGAAAAGCACTTCGGTCAAGTGCAAAGCCCTTCCCCGCACCATCAGCTGGAACTCCTCAAACTCTATGAGTTTTCACGGAGAATGACTAACAGCATTCATCTGGGATCAAAGCAAACTGAAAACACAGCTTCTAGCAGGATGGCTAACTGAAGCTTCGGGCTTGGTTTGAAAGCTGTGTTTAGCTGAAGGACAGGAAGTGGACTAAAGGGTGCTCCACACTCTCTCACGAGCAACCCCTAGGATGGGGACCACAGCTGGGTCCAGACCCACTGGCTGCACAGGCCCAGGCTCCAAAGTTGAGCGGGACTGACTTTCAGTGTTTAAGTGACTGCAGACTTCACACAGCGGTGTCAGTATCCCTGGTGTCTTGGAAAGTTAGACGAAAAACTGGCCCTGCGGCCTGCTACAGGGTGTGGTAAACACAGTGCCCTCTCAGACAAGGCCTGGGCCCTCCTTGGCCTTCAGCAGAGACCTGCCACTCCCACACAGTCCAGTCCCACTCACTTCCTGTTCAGCCTGGAATCCCCGTGTGAGTTCGCCAGAGTGGTTCATCTGTCCTCCAAGGATCTATTGTCCTCAAAATAAATACGTAAACTGCACAGGCCGGAAGCAATCCTTGGGCGCCATTTTGACTTCAGGGCGCATTAACTTTGAATCACCCCAGGACAGGTTTGTCCCCCAGGTAAGACCATGTGTTGTCAAAAAACAGGGCTAGGCTTAGAACACCAGTGACCCAGTGCCACTTCCTCCGCCCACCAGCCGCGTGGTCCTGGGGTCTTGAGCTCTTCACTCACAGGCAGGGAGAGGTTGGGCTGCTCTTGCAATTCCAGAGGGCCACGTGGAAGATGCAGACGGAGAGACACATATTTGGGACCACTCTCATTTTCCGTCTGACAGTGACAGAGGTACCTGTTTTTCCTTGGTTTTGTTTTGGAACAAATAGTGCCATCTTCACAGCAACTCTGAAAGAAGGGTTCTGGAAGTATCAGAGCAGGGAGCATCTTTGGCATCAGGGCAAAGCTTCCCAAGGTGACAATTTGAGAAGGAGCTGAGGGCAGGGGAGAGGAGTGCTGTACTGAAATCAGACGCTCCCTGCTCGTGTGGGAGACCCTCGGCCTCTCTTGTGCCTTTGTGATCCTTCGTGTTAAAGTATGAACTAAATCTGACATTGCAGTGCTCAGAACCCTCGGGGTTCCTGAACACTTAGAATAAACAAGTATTCTTTGAAGGGAATGGGGCGGGGGAAGAGACTAGGTCTTGCTATGTTACCCAATCTGGCCTGGGACTCACTATGTAGCCTTAGGCTAACCTCAAACTCATGATCCTCCCTGCTTGGACCTCCCGAGTGGTAGGATTATAAGCATGTGCCACCACACCAGCTTAGAAAAAGCAGCTCTTGACCACTTGTAATGATAACCCTAGCTGTCTCTTCACTCCCTTTAGGTGCCTGCCACACTGAGGCCTTTCTGCTGAGTCCTCAGCCCCTTCCTGTCTCTCAGCCTTGGAACTGACTGATGTCTTTATGGAAGACACTTTTTCCTGGCTCTCAGTTTGGCTGCCTCTTCGAGATGTAAAAGCTTTAGGGTAAATGCTGGGCTGCCACTGCCTACTCCATCTAAAGATGTCCTTTTGTCCTGTGTCCCCCAAACCACAGACTTTGTCTCACTCTCTACAAACACTGTAACCTTCAAATTTGAAATTAAATGTTTACATAATCATTGCCTGTGATTCTCTATTGATTATAAGCTCCAGGAGGAAGGAAACATGTCTGGCTGGTAGCCCCATGTGTGTCTGTCATCTCCCACAGTGGTTGGCACAAAACAGATGCCCAATTACCTTTGACTGAGTAATGTATGAGTGAGTGGATCAATGAACATAGAGATGAAAACTTTGAACTTTAACTACACACTACACAAGTAATCTTGGGTGCAATACTTACACTTCAAGTTCTCAGGTTTTAGTAGCAAGGGAGAATAAAATGCTATCCCATGGAGCCTCTTTGTGTTATAAAAGGATCGTGTATGTCACATGCCTATGCAAGGCCTAGTACACAGCAGGATCTCAGTAAGAGTAGCTTTTGAGAAAATACTCACTGAATATGGCTTGTCCCCATACAAGGAACAAATGTGGGATTCCAGCACTTCACTGGTGATATGTTAATGCTTAGATATTTTAAAAAGGAGAAAAGAAAATTCATGTTCAAATTGATTTCTAGAGCATTGGCTAAAGTAAAACTAAACAAATTACTTACTGCGGTTGTATCAGAATATCAGAATATATCCCGCATCCTGAATCCCCAAAAGAAGAATTTAGAATGCAGCATTTCCCCCCGATTTGCTTGATCACAGTACCTTTTATTTGGGGGGGGACACTATCGGCAGGATTAGCATTCCATGCAGCACATGTGGAAATGCTGCTCTTATTGTTTTATCTAATGCACTTCTAAAATAATCCTGTGGATTCGACATTGAGTAAAAGTTTGTTGAATGCTTCTCTCATAAATTTCTTCCAATTTTCATCCTAAAGCTACTTCGTATATTGATTTTATATCTGCCTGAACATAAAGAGAATTTCTATGTGAAAACTGGAAAATGAAATGGGACAAACACAGAATATAAATTAAATATGTCTTTGTGTCTGTGGCACGGGTCAAAATCAGCATCTCCTTCTCTCTACCCACAAGAAAACAATAAGAAAATGATAATTCCAAACTGCACCAGAGGGTGGCACTCTAGGACTACATGTGGGGAGGAAAGAAAAAATTTCTTTTCTCAAATCAGTTGAATAAATTCTCCCATAAGGGTCTGTGTGATTTCTAAGATTAACCTCCAGATCTGCCAGGAAACATCAGCTTATACTCTATCAAAGCAGGTGACTTGGCCAGAGGAATTAAAGCCATAAACCTCAGCAAAACACAGAAGTGATGTCTCAGTACTTCCATCATGTGGCAACACAAGGCCACCAGGTCATTAACTTTCTCAATTTCATTTTTTGTAGGGCGGGGTAGGTGGACAAGGAGAGAGGAGGGTAGCTGGAAGGCACAGGCAGAAGACTGCGTGAGCTTTTCTCCTTACTTAGGTCAATAACCCTCTTGGGAAGTTGATTTTAGATAGACTGTGTGCATATTTAAAACTTCAATAATTAGAATTTATCTTACTTTCTATTAGAAAAATAAAACTAGTGGTTATAACAGCATAAAAGTAATAAAATATATTTTTAAAATATGTAAATGTATTTGAATAGAAGAGAAGGAATACAAATGAATAGTAGACATACGACAAAAATTAGGATCGTAGACATATAGCAAAAATTAGAATCGTATAACTCAAATACCACAAAAGTTTCTGAAGCCTTGGTGGTAGGAGACTGCCTGATCCAACACAACTCTGCAGACGCACCTTGGGCGGTGAGCCTTTTTGTCAATTATGTAGCAATTCAGCCTCTCACCCAGCACTCAGATCTATTCTGCACACGTTCCCTGCTAGTGAACCCAGCATGGAGTCGGGAAGAATGGAAGCTAAGTGCTCTTGGTGCTATTTCACAATACACCTTCTCGCACCAAATGCTAATGGGCGGCTACTCCCCTGAGAGGCACCAGAATAGGACAACAAAGGATAAAATGACAGGCGCCCTTTCCTGCCCTCCGGACTTTATCCCATTCTGGAGCAGCTCACCTCAAGTCACTGTGGCCACACCATTAACTATGAAATGCACTCTGATAAGGGCTCAAGGAAGGGGCATCACCTGCACTGACCAGAGATTTGCAAGCCAGTACCTAAGTGAGGAGGGCTGTCTTGGGGCCTGTGGGGCCCTACAAGGGTGACCCGGAAATGAGCGAGAGTTAAGGAGGGCAGGGGAAGGGCACAGCATCCACAGGAAGCTATCCAGGGTGGCAGGACCACCCAGAAAAGTTGAAAGGAAGCGCGAGGGACACGAGGGGACACGAATGACCAAGACCATTGTGTTCTGCGGTCACTCATTCACTCCCGTGTTCACTGTCAGTGAAGCTTTGTGTGTAAACTGGGTGTAATCCAGTGCACGCTCTCTCAAGGTTGGGGATCTTGTATCTCATTAGTGCAAAGCCCTTTGGCAGATTCCCCCACATACATTTGGTGACTTCCTTATAGATTACATAGTCATAAGCTGTCCGCATACCATGGTGTACAATGACATATTTTATGGCATAAGAAAGGGCTTGAACAGAATGTTTCATTGTTTCCCTAATGAGCAGGTTTCTGCAGTGGACTCACTGCGATTTACTTAAAGTCACACAGCAGAACCAGGAGCCAGGACTCCTGCCTTCCGCAGGGCCCTGTCCCCTAGATCAGCGGTTCGTGCTGGCCCCAACCACAGACCTCCCTTCCCGGGGTTGAGGGCCTGGGGATCTGCATTCCTTCGACTCTACTACGCGGTTTCTCCAAGCCAAGGCCCAGAGCAGCACCCAGACTCTGTGTTCACTAAAGAGGTGGATTGCTCAGCCCCATCTTCCACTTCGAGCTCTAAAATCTCTGGGGCCAAGGACTCAAGTCTTGGCTTTCAAACACTTCTCCTAGGACATTGTGATCCAGGCAAGTATTTGAGGACGGGGCTCTTGAAAGGGGAAGCGCCCCACGGCCCCGGGACTCGAGGGGCGCCCTTGCCTCGGGAGGAAGAGGCCTCCCTCACCAGTGTGGCACGCCATGGGGGTGAGTGACCCCCCTCCCCCCCGCCGCCCCGCCAGGGACCGGGCCCGCCCCGCCGCAGCCCAGCTCACCAGCTCACCTTCCAGGCGGGACAGCTGCCCGGTGCTGTGCTGCCGGGTGATGTGCTGCCAGTAGGCGCTGCGCGGCAGGGGCACCATGGTGCTCAGCGAGGCGGCCCGCTCGCTCATCTTCATCTGCAGCTGCGGTCAAAGGAGAGAGAGTGGTTTGTCAGCAACGCGGGGGCTGAGCGTCCGGAGCGATGAGGCTGCGGGAAATCAAGCAATTCCCCACGCCCCTGGAGCTCTCAGCGCGGTGAGTAGCACCACAGAGGGTGGACAGCGAATCTTGCGGGGCAGGCTGCTCCCTGGGGCAGACTCCCCCGACTCCGCCCAGTCTCTGCAGTCCCGTGGGGCTGAGCTCCAGGGTCCCCCGTGACCCACGTCAGGCCAGCAAGACACACTCCCACCAGGCATCTGTCAGACACTGGAGAATCCATAGAGGCGTGCTGAGGACGGGGCCTGTTTTATTCCCCGCTCTGTCCCAGGGTCTAGAACCTTTATTTCACATAGTAGGCATGCAGTAAATATTTGTTGAATAGAATGCGGATTCCTGTGGGGGTACTGTGAGCCAGGATCCAGGATCCAAGTCTGTTTCGGAATAACAAAGGGATAGTGTGACAATGAACAGGAACTGCTTAAGTAAAGCCAGCCAGGAAGGCCCTCCTGAACTCAGAGGCAGGTGAGCCAGTTTCTGCTCTACTGTTGAAGCGGGCTTGAAGTGAATGTTCTGTCACTGTCGTCAGACAAAAGCCCTGTCTGCTCAGCCAGCTGGCCTTCTCAGCTGGTCACTGCTCCAGGTACTGAGAGAGGAGGAAGTCACAGTGCAGGTCCCCCAGCTGGACAGCGAGCAGCCAGTGGCCTGTCCTGGCCTTGCCGTGGAGCTGACCACACAGGCAGGGGCAGCATTGGTGCAGTAAAAGGAAAACAGGGACACATGTGGAAGAACGGGGTGCAGTGGGAAGCAGCTCCCAGCCACACTCTGGTCTGAGCCCTGGTCTTAGACAATCATGATATGGTTTTATTATGCCACGGCACAACTGACCATCAGTAAAGTTCAAGGGATCCACCTCAGTCTCTTTTCAAAATGCATTTAAGGAGACACAGATTCCTTCTTTGGGGTATAGCTTTCAATCAGTGAAAACTGGAGCCACTTAAGTACTCCTCGGTCGAGGCCCAGCTAATTGCTTGTAGACACAAGGCCATTGTTGTACCTGAAGATGGAAGATTTAGATCAATTGAACGGGAAACATGCAAACACTGTCCAGGAAGGAAACACAGTGAGCCACCGGCCACTGTACCTGGTGGAATGCCACCCTCATGCTCACATGAAAAATGGTAGCGTTAAACACTTAGCCAGCTGGCTCACATGAGGGGTGCTGAAAAGACACCTGCTTAGCTTTGCTCAGTGCAAGTGGCCCAGGAAAAAAGAAATGGAGATGATCGTCATGATGATTATAATGTGCACGCCTGTGGAAAAAGATTTTAAAGAAAAGTACCTCCCTCTGCACATGTCTTCAGTATGGTACTTTCAGATACAATATCTGTACATTCATTCAGTAAAGGCAAAATACCCGGGAGACCAAAACTCATTGTAGTTGATGAGACTCAACTTGAAAGAAAGATAATAACCAGTCACTCAAAAGATAATTCAATTTACATGCATTGCATTTACATTTGCTGGATTGGATTCCTGGTCCTTATCACAATAGCACAATGCCAAAATCCATGCCCAACTGGAATAATGAAGTACTAGTTTCATAGGAGTAGTTTTTCCTAAAAATGCCCTCCTAAATCAAAAGGTCAGAAAGCTGAGTATGACACTGGTGGAAAAGTTCAGTGGTTTTTTCTGTATATTTGAAAAATCTTTTTTAAAAAATGTACTAATGATGTGATGGCATTCAATCTAATTTATATGCACACAAGAAATAAAAGGAGGAAAAACACTGAATTGAGAAGTACTGATTATTGGATTTTCTTAATATAAAAAGATTACATTTAATCTAATAAGAATTTTAATATAGAGGAACACTTGGGGACTAGCAGTCACTTCAAATTATTCACTACTTCCCTGCAAATACATTTGGGTGGCCCAGCTTGGTTTGACTATATTTTTAGAAAGCTTCTTTAGGAGCAAGAATCAAATGATACAAATGCCATGTTTTGTAGAGCACAATGCAAAGCCTCGCTCTGTACTTGTTCCTTCTCAACCCTTTAAAAGAATATCTAATTTTATGAATGGAACATTTGAGTTGTATCTGAAGAAAGATGATGAGAAAAGCCTTCTCGTTTAATAATGCAAAATGTTGCAATAATTCCGCCAGGATGTGGAGCCTTAGAAAGTCATCTGGTGACAATCTAGCAAGGAGTTGCCATCATTCCTCTATATTGCTGCAAGCCACTCAAACTAGAGAAGGGAGGCTGAGTGGGGCCCATGTACATCACTTGGGAAATACAAATTAGCATGCATTTGGGGAGGAGTTAAAATTGAGTAACCTGAACCACCTGGACAGAAAACTTACCACCTTTCTCTTTTTTAAAAAACTGCATACACTTCTTGTGGTTTAACTATTTTTTTTTTTAGTAAACATAATACATTCATATTTAAAAAACAAAAATTACTCCAAATAATAGAATTAGAGAATACGGAGATTTCTGCCGTAACGGGGTTCTGAGGGTCCTGAAAAGTCTCCTGTCCACAGTGCTATGGGGGAAATCCGCTCAGGGAAAGACCACGAGAACACAGGCCTGTTACTCCCAGGAGCGCTGTCACTTTGAGGGACAACTTGGACAGCCAAGGCGCCTGGAGGCTGGGGAGGGGATACAAACAGTGTAGAACAATGCTTGGTTGGAAATGCTGGTGCCATGGCTTAGACCTAAAGTGTCTCCCAAAAGTCTCATGTGTGTGGAAGGGGAAGGGATGGGGAGGTGCTGTACCCATCAATGGACCATTCATCCATTGATGAGGTCCATAGCTGAATGTAGTGATGGGAGGTGGGGCCTACTGGAAGAGGTGGATCACTGGGACCTAACCCAGGGCCATTGTGCCTCAGAGCCAGCCAACGAGGGACTGAATCCTCTAAAAAGCATGAGCTAACACAAACCTTGCCCCCTGTAAGTTGTGGCTCTCTGGGATTGTGTCCCAGCCATGAGAAGCAGCTAGGATAGACGGCTTGAGAAGGTCTGGGTGGCAGAGGTGGAGGGAAGGCCCTTTAAAAAGATGGGCACTAGTGGATGTGCTGCCCTGCAAAGCAGGACAGGGACACATCCCTTTGCAGACAAAGCCTTGGAGTCCTGTTGTCTCTGATCTTAAAAAGAAGTGGGAGGAGCCCTGCCTGCCTACGCAGTCATTTATTTAAAGGTATTTTCCTTTCCCTCTTAAGGTTGCAGCTCTGCTCCCATTAATCTGGGTTTCCCTCACCTAGGGAAAATTCCTTGCACACCAACACAACCTTAATATTAGAATGAATTATCAAATTATCAAATGCCTCTGACTCATGTGGGAATCTAGAAATGATGTTATAATGGAACAAACTGTCTACAATACCTGACCCATGCTTCTTCCCCTAACAAACACATGCCTTTGAACTCTGTAAAAATCAATAACCACAACAAAATCATAAATCAGTCCTTTTGTTTCCCATTTCTGCAAACTGAATAGAATCACGAAACATTAAGGTCAGAAGAACTCAGTGAGCATTCCACCCAGTCTCCTGAGTTAACCAGCCATGAAACCAAGCATCCTGGGTCCAACTTCATGGAGAAGGTGCTCTGATCCTGACCCTACTCCCCTACACCACTCAATCCAGCCACTGTACCTCTGCACCCAGCCTGAGAGCTTCCTCGATCTCCTTGCTAACACCTATGGTCCCTCCAGGATCCATTCAGGAACTATAGCCCTACGTATTCTTCTTACATCTCTTCTCCTTTCTTAACAGGATCAGGTGCTCTTACCAGGTACCTTATAGCCCTGTACTTATTCTGATCATTTTTGCAACAGCTGCTAAACTAGCCTGCCTCCTACTGTAGGCTGAGATTCCCTACAAAGAAGAAATTCTAGCTTTCATTTTTGGGTCTCCAGCATTGAACTTGGGTCTCCAGGGGCTAAATAAATGTATGATGAATAAATGAATGAATCCATCCTTTGTCCAACCAAATGGCAAGAAATAGTTTTCAGAAATAAATTCTTATGAATCCAGCAAATGAGAAGCACTGTTAACCCACCACTGAATTCATGCTGAAACTTCAGGTCCAGGCCAAAGAAATATGCCAGAGCTGCTTTTGGGGAACACAGTACTAAGTCTGTATTCTGCCCTTCAATGGGTGAACTGAAGCACTAGGAGAAAGACTTGCTGATGTGCAGAAGTACAATTTAGGACAATCCAATAGCAGCGGCCTTTAGCTCTACACATTTCATTCTGTCGACAATGTCAGCTCACGATCCCATCAGGGAAGAAGAGAAGACTTCATGGAAGTCAAACAAGTGCTTTGTTCTTCAGCTCTTGAACTTTCTCTACACAGCCAGGAGCATGTATATCTCTTCCTAACCCAGCCTGAGTGAGTCCTGGTGCTGCTGATCAGCCCCTGTCATCAACTGGAGGAGACGAAAAGCATTGTGTTGCTGAGGGAGAGAAATTACATGCACGAGGAGGCCTAGGTTACACTTTAACTTCTGCTCGATATGAGCCATGTGGTCATCAAAGTATCTTTTCTACTGGAATTAAGAGACAGTAAAACTACAAACAAATTTTTAAAAATCTGATTTTCATTTCAAAAAGGAATGAAGCTCTGAGACATGCTATGAATCCTATGAACCTAAAGGAACCACACTAGGTGAAAGAAGTCAGTCCCACAAGACCTCATATTGTATCCTTCATTTATAGGAAAGCCCAGAATAGGCAAATCCCTAGGGAGGGAAACCAGATTAGTGGCTGCCTTCGCCTCAAGGGTTGGTGTCTAAAGAAGACTGGGTTTCTTTGTACGATGATGAAAATATTCTGCAACCAATTGTGGTGATGGTATCACAGCTCTGAATATATGAAAAGCATTAAATTTACAGGTTAGAAGGGTGTATGTGTATGGTAAGGCACATGTGGTATGTTTATATCTCAGCAAAGCTGTCACCAAAAATATAAAACCAGATA